CAACACAAAACATGTCATCCTTTGACCTGACTTTGTTTCTGCAACTAGAGGCTAGAGAAAGAAACCAGCAAAAACACTGATTTTTAGCAAAAGTGCCACATGACTTGTAGTGTTTGCCTTCTCCTTAAGTACAGGCAGTAACCAAGCAATATTGCATCTGGAAACTGCCTATGTTACCAGACCCAATCTAGTATGCAGTCACATTCCCTTCAGTCAAAGAGAACATTATTTAGGGCCGAACTTTGGTTTCTTTCCATACAACGAATAGTGTCACTGAAGCTAATGTGAAAACTTGGACAATGAAGGGATGCTAAACCAGAGAAAAAGTTTTAGACTAGAGGTCAGCAACGTTTTCGGGCAGAGTGCCAAAAACACCTGCAATCTCAATAAGATGTTGGCATACCAGGGGCAGATGGTGGGGGAGTCACAAGGGGTCCACTCCTTGTTGTGGCAGCACAACCTTGGCCCCTTCCCCGCCATCCGCCCCAAGGCGCACATGCACCTGCTGCCAGCAGCAAGCCAGGCCTGGGCTCCATGGACCTGGGTACAACCGCCTGCAGCCTTCTGGCTGCCTGCCACAGCTGGCCCAGGCTCTGGGCAAGCCCCTGCTGCAAAGTGCCCAGGCTACTTGCAGCATGCAGCAGGGAGGCTGCAAGCAGCTGTATCAGGGTCTGTGGAGCAGTGAATACACTGTTGCCGGCAGTGGATACACACATGCCTTGAGGTGGACAGCAGGGAAAGGACCGGGGTTGCACTGCGACAACAAAGGTTGGACTCCTCATGGTCCCTCGCCATCTGCCCCATGGTGCACTTGCTAAGCAAAATGCCTTTTGTGCCACACTCAGGAATGCTTGCTGAGGCCTACCCATGTGTTAGATCCTGTCTCTAACTTTTTTATTTTCTTTACTTAATCTGTATCTCAACCTCCTACCCCAGAAATGGAGTATAAAGCCAAGTAGCTTGGAAAGTATTTTTCCCACTTCTGCATTTTTTTTCTTTTTGAAAGTTTTGGGATGAGTAGAAGGTTAAAACCCTCTGTAGTTCTTGGGTTACTGAGAAATGTATAAATCTTGGCATCTATAACCTTGCCAATGATTCCAAATTCTCACAGGTTGAGAAACATAGCCCTTAAGGAAGGAAAGGAAAAAGGAGCCCCAATGTATGACCTGTCTGCTATGGTCCAGGGCTGTATGCTTGCTGAAATGTGTTCACAAACTTTTCCATAGCATGGGCCACATCTCAACAGAGGGTCTTGTGAACTTCTTGTCTTTCCATTAGTAAGCAAGCCTGCCTCTCATCCCATTCAATTACATGGCATCCCTGAAAAAAGAACAGTAACTCTTCCCAGAAAATGGCTCCATCACAAGAGGTGGCGGCACACCTTTTTTTACCAAGCTGCCTTCTAATGCATTTTAGACACTGGAGAGAAGGAGGGAGAGGAGCAAGCCCCATGTAACCGTAACTGACCATCTCTCCCCAGACCAGAGTTAAGGTCTTTGTATCCACAGAGATGAACAGATCATGGTCTGATAACCAGCGTAGTGAAATATGGGTCCCCCCAAACCTCTCTGACCTGAAGCAGAACCATAGATTTCTAATAGATATCTGAGTGGGTTTAAATCTCAAAAACAGCTTTTTCTCGTTGGGGCTCCCAACTTGGTGTATGTCTAGATTGCAAGATACTGTCACCTTAAACCAGGGGTAAAAGAGCAGGTTTGCTCTGTCTTTGAATGGTAGCTGATTCACCTACGTGGGTGTGGCAGGCTTGTTCTGGGAAATCACCCACAATTTGCTTAAGGCAGGGAGCTGTGATGTCAAAGGGGAGAATTGTTTGTCAGCCAGTTGGCCCGCTCTAGATTCCATCCTGTCTTTTCTGCTTTTTTCTGAACCAGGGTTTGGCAACATTTTTAGGCAGAGTGCCAAAAACACCTGCAACCTTGACTTTTAAGATGTTGGCGTTCCAGGGGTGAGGGGCAGGGGAGCTGTGAGGGGCCCTCTTCTTGTAGCAGCGCAGCCCCAGGCCCCTTTCCTGCCATTTGCCCAGAGGCACACTTGCACCTGCCACCAGCAGCAAGCTGGGCCACTACTCTATGAACCCTAGTGCAGCCACTTGCAGCCTCTTGGCCACCTGCCACAGCTGACTCAGGCTCTAGGCAGGCCACTGCTGCCAGCCTCAGAGTCTGGGTTGCTCACAGCTGGCAGCAGAAAGGCTGTAAGCAGCCACACTGGGGTCCGCATAGCCCCAACCTGGTTCACTGCTGGCAGTGGGTGCTCACGCACCTTGAGGTGGATGGTGGGGAAGGAGCCGGGGCTCTACAAGTGTAGACTGGCAGGCACATAATGTATTAGAAACATAAAGTAACATTATACCTGCATGCAGGGGTTTAGGTTGTAGCCGTGTTGGTCTAAGGATATAGGCAGACAAGGTTCCTTGGGTGAATTTGATATCTTTTATTAGACCAACCCAAATGGTTGGAGAATAGTTATTAAGCAAGCTTTCGGGTTCAAAAACCCTTCGTCAGGCTCAGGAAGCTGCAGCAGTTGGTGTATGCTCTTCCTGGATGGAATGAAAAGTATTATACCTGCATGGCATTAACAGATTCAACAGAAAGTAACTTTAGATTCACATGTGCCGATTCAGCACATTCACATACCTCTCACAGCCTTACTGCAAATGCATGATCCCTGCTACTGTATCCTTGGGAGCCCAGCTCTGACTGTGTGGCCAGGGGGCACAACTCTGCACTGCTGTTGCTGCCCCCACTGCTGTCTGGTGGGCAGGGGGTGCCTTAACATCTCACTCCCCAGCCAGCCACACATTCCCACCCTGAGCAGTGCCCCCAGTCCCTGCCCCACTTCCTCCCTCACCTTGGGAGCCTTAGTCTGCCCCTCCTATCTCTAAGCCTCACCTCCCCTGACTTACCTGCAGGGAGCTGCTCTCCATTGCTTCCTGTATCATATCCTCACTTTCTTATCCCACCTGGAATAATGAGTTTCCCAACTGGTTATTAATTTGGCTGGACAGTGCATCCAGCATGAGAGAAGTATGGCTACCATAAGCTTTGTGGCTTGTTCCAGGTGCATTCCAAGATATCCTCTACCTGCCTAATAGATTGACATCTGTGTTCTGATACCTACTGATATGCAGCTGGCAGAGCAGCAGGACAAGACTTACTTGCAGAGGCACAATTCTGTTGGGTTCTGCACTTTGCAGTCCAGACTTCTTGGAGCCCAACTTGCTGGCAGCAGGGTGCAGGGGGACTGGGAAGTGATTTTCTTTACCAGTAGTACATGTTACTTGCACATTGTTGGAAATGCTGCCTTGTGTGGGTGTGGTCAAATACTTGTCTCCTCAGACCTTTAGAAAGAATGATGGGGGATGGCCTTGGTAAGGCTACCAAGGTCACTAGCTGATCAGGCTGGTGCAGTCCCTGGTTAAATGCAGGTTCCAGGCATTTGTATTTTGTTCTGTCAAGTCTTTTTTCAGCAGCTTATCATGGTGCCAGAACATGTGACCCTCCCCACACATGCCCCCAAACTTTTGAGGCAGTTTTCCGTATAGCACCCTCAGGAAGCACTTCTGGGAGATGTCATCCCCACCCTGAAAATGAGGAACTGAGGCATGGAGACAAAGACCCCTGTTCAAAAGCCCTTTTGAATATGCTTAAGCAAGTGGATAATCCTGTTGCCCACCTACAAAGAACATTAATTTTGTGCTTCCCTTTCATTAAGCATATGCTCAACTCCCTAGATCAAGTTAACAGGTGAGTAACTACTTTGGTAAATCAGGGTTTTGACATGCCAGTTTCCATAGGAAGTCTGGCGGAGACTGGAATAGGACCCAGATACCCCACTCCCTTAACCACAAAGCTATCCTTTTGTCTTATCCTTTATCCCAATTTATACTAAATTGTTTAGGAATCTTTGAATCCCTGAGGGAGATGTTCTACCCTCTTTGGATAGAACTACCTCTGACTCTTACCACTGAGTGCTGAGCAGCAGTTAAATAACATGGCAACCTCTAGGGTGCCAATGGCCATGGGCAGAAGAGCACCTTAGAGGAGGGTACTAATCTTACCCCTGCCAGAGGAAACGTTGCCAAGAAGTTGTGGAACTGAAGTCCACTCCATGATAAGGTGGACTGGGCTGTAACCCTGGTCAGCAGCCAGTCTAGGAGTGGGGCCTTGATAGACAAACGGATGATACCCTTTGCTCCAGCAGCTCCTGTGGCCAACCTGGTTCCAAAGGTACTGGAACCTGCCTTTCTTTTGGATTAAACTAGCAAGGTTGAGAGGGGGACACTAGTATGTGGGTAACTCATTGTCTCCATATACACTGCCCAGTCTTTTTCACCCTGGAGAGGTCACTTCAGCTTCACTTTATCTTTCAAGCAAGGATTACATTCAGTGAACTGATGTCTCACTCAGCTTAATTCTTTTGTCTCCCCAGTTGCTGACTGGTTGCGGAGGGGGCATGTGCCCCCCCGACTAAGGCGGCACCAGTCACCCATGGACACCAAGGAAGCTTTCTTGCTTAATCTGACCATGAGCTATATGTGGTTCAGCTTCCGTACATGAAAGCACTCCACTGTACAAAGAGAGCTGTTCTATATCACCTCACCTGTTTGCTTGTGCTTCATCTGTGTGTTGAGATGTTGCATGTAGTTAGCAGGGGAATGACCCCTCCTACAGATTTCTCATGCCAGTCACTGGTGGGAGCATAGTTATGTCCTACTTGCAATTCATTTCCCCTACACTTCTCTGAGCTGCTTTTGATGCAATACTTCACTGAACTGAGCATTTTGGCAAAGCAATCTCTGTACCTTGGTGACCAGCTTCTTCACTGGGTCATAACAACAGCCAAGATATGAGACCTGGGAGTGACTCTAGTGGTTATGCATATTGGCTGGGGTAGACTGGGCACTTGGTAACAGGTAAGGACTTGCTAATGCTAACCTGTCTCTTTAAGGTGCTTGACTGTTTTTATTTGTTTTGAATTAGGATGGAGATGAAGAATTTAACCGTGCTAAACTGCTGAACATAGGCTTCAGAGAGGCTTTGAAAACATATGACTATGATTGCTTTGTATTTAGTGATGTGGACCTAATTCCAATGGATGACAGGAACATCTACAAATGTTATAGTCAACCAAGGCACCTCTCTGTGTCAATGGACAAGTTTGGATTTCGGTGAGAGCTTTTTGGTGTGGCCTGCTTTGTTACTCAGATGTAGCTTAGTGTTACATACCTCTGTCAGAGGGGTAGCCTTTCCATTATATGCCCAGTCTTGGAAGCTTAAAGTAAAAAAAAAAAACAACCCAAAAACAAAACCTCCCATCTGAACCTCCCTGGGGAATAAATAAGAATGAGATGAGTTGTTTCCTATCCCCTGCAAGAATCATTTTAAAGTCTTCAGTATTGGCTTGCTAAGACAGGGGTGGGAGGGTGGCAGGGGTGGGAGAGGATATGATCTTTTTCAGAGAGATTTTTTTTAGTTCCATTATGTATTTCAAATGGAAAGTCTGGAGCCCATCAAATTCTAATTCAGACAGATAGCAAAGCACCAAAAAAGTGAACTGTAAATGGTGAGCTGTAGTTCTGAACACATTTAAATAGGTTCATAAATACAAATTTGGACTACATCAATACACATGTGGACTACATCAATGCTTCCTTAGTTCTGCAAGAGAATGACTCCTCTCTTAAACCCCACAAGGAAAATTCCCTTACAATCATTTTATTATTTAAATGGCCCTCTGTAAAATGAACAACAAACATCATCCCCAGTGATGAGTAATAGTTTGGTCACGGGGGACATATCCATTTGCAGTGTTTGTCAGACTTTGCCAGATTCCTCACTTTTTTTAATGCTGCACTTTAAATATTTATTTATTAATATGTTTACCCTAAACTTTATGACAAGGTGTCGGTGGCCCTGTTTGCCCCCTTCACTATACCATTGGTTAATCTGCACAGGCTCCAACCCTATCCTTAACCCAGTGCCTGTACCACCTCCCTGGGAATGCAGAAGTGCGCCAGGCTGCTCACTGCTCCAGCCACAGAGTAGGAGAAACGGGTAGAGTCTTGGCTTCCTACCCCTCATTGTGCTTAATTTGGATGTTAGACAGTGACTTACTGCTGGTACAGACTTGGATCAAATTGCTGTCCTCAGTGTCTTGGAAGGCAGAGGGTCACAATACCCTGGGGTCACTTGGGGGTGGGGGATGGCTTTTCTCAGTTCCAGGCTTGGTGCACTACTAACTCTTTCTTCCCCTTCTTTCAGGTTACCTTACAATCAGTATTTTGGAGGCGTGTCCGCTTTAAGCAAGGAACAATTCTTAAAAATCAATGGGTTTCCAAACAATTACTGGGGCTGGGGTGGTGAAGATGATGACATTTATAACAGGTAAAGAGTTCTACTGAACCATGTATGTTGGAAATGTGTCCAAGTGTTCATTTCCACCCCTGCATGAGATTTGGTTGTCCACAAAGCAGTAGACAATGGTGGTATGAAATACAGAGCTTGCAAGCAGCCAGTGAGTAGTGGTATTGCAGGAGCAGGTATTGGGAGCCTGCTGGGTGCCTGCATAGCTTGGGGTCCACAAGCAGAAGAGAAATGGCTTCTAGCAGTGAAGTGCATGTGTGTGATCAGGAGCGACAGTCTCCCTTTCCCATCTCCAAACTGGATATGTTCATGATACTGATCTCAACGCTGGAGCAGGGTCAGGGGTTTAGCTGCAGAAAGGTGATGGTCCTTTCTTCGTTCTTTGCTGTGTAGGAGACTCTTATCCAGTGCTGGAGACAGCAAACTGGGAAGGCCAAGCTGAGAGGAACCACAATTCAGCCCTCATGTCAGGAAACTCTTTCCTTACCTCCAGTACCATAGAGAGTTTGGGGTGAGCATTGGGGCAAATCCCTTTGTCAAGTTTCTGTGAGCAAGGGCCAGAACTCAAAGCTCTTTCATTCCAGCAGAGTGCTCTAACCACTAGGATGTCATCAGGGTCCCTTCTGCTTGCTCTCCCTGTGGCCCCATCTAGCACTGACCTGCAAAAGTGCCCACAAGTCCCATAGTCTGTCTAGAGAGCTAGGGTGCCCGATCCTGTCTGTTTGAGCCTCTTTTCAGAAATGCCTACTCCAGGTCAACTTTATGAAAACTCGGGATGTCCAAACCTAGGTCTAATTGAATTGTTAAAAGTGATGTGGCCACGTCTGTAAACAAAACGGGATTGCTCCTTATTCATGATCCACACAAGGTTTTTCTCCCAACCCCTTCCTCCCCCAGTAAAGATAGGTAGAAATGGAACCAGATTTCATCCCACACCCAATTTAAGGCCTGGATCCATGTTTACAGCAGCTTAAATCAAGTAGCATTTTGCATACACACTGCCTTCCCAGTGAGATGGACAAAGAGGAGACCCATCCTCCAAACTCCCTTTGGAGCTTGGATGATATGAAGGTGCTCAGCAGTGTACAGGATTGGGGCCTTCTTGCTGCCACTGACTTGGCTGAAATTACATGTAACCCCCCTGCACAGAAGTGAGATTACATTTTCTCCTTGCAGTGTAGCAATGGCATCACCCACCCTGCTCTGCAAGTCCCTCCGTTTGTTGGTATCTACAGGGGTCTGTCATGTGCCAGACTGCAATTTGGTTCAGTCTGTTAACTTGCTCATAACCAGAGATCCTGGTTTTCCCTGTTAAAAAAATCACAAATTCTCTGATTAAACCCCCCCAAATCCATGATTAAAATTAAAGTCCCTCATTCCTCCCCACAGCCCCCCTAGCCCTGCTGGTGCCACTCCCAGCCCTGCCAGAGGGGGCCTCCAGCTGCTATGGCTATGGAGCCAGGGACCTGGGTCCACAGCCCCCTGTCCCCGGCAGGAGGTGGCAGCTGCTGCAGCCAAGCAGAACCCGGTTCCCTCCACTGCTGCCTGCCTGCTGCAGGCTTCGGCGGGGGAGTGGCTCCTTGCTGCTGTGCACACTCCTGTGGGACAGGGGAGACCCATGCCCCCCAGATCTGTGCACAGAGTGGGGGCAGGCCTGGGCTGCCCACTTCGGGCTTGGGCTCCCACCCTGCTGCCCTTTTCCACAGCCTCTGCAGCCCAGCAGGTGCAACCAGGTGCTGTAGGGCAGAGCGGGACCATGCTGGGATCTTGCTGCTGCAAGCTCCACACTGCCCTGGTGAGGCGTCCTCAGCAGCAAGGGGCACAACCCAATGCCACCACCCCTGCAGAACTGGGTCACTCCTGCTGGGCTATGGAGGCTCTGGGGGAAGGCAGCAGGGTGGGGAGACAACAGCAGGCAGCCTGCCCCCATCCTGCGCACAGATATGGGGGACATGGGTCCTGCCCCCCTGGGAGTGTGTGCAGCAGTGGGGAGCTGCCTGTGGCCAAATGAGCTGCCTGTGGCCCAGTCCCACTCCATGCCAGGGCCCTGAGGCTGTATAATGTAGCCCTGGGCCCCAAGCCCCATGCACCACCTGGCTGGGCAACAGCCCCATCTGTACCCAACTCCCTCCCTTGCTCCCTATGGGGACCTCAATATCCGCCGGCCAGGCCCACCCCCC